GATAGATTAAAAAAAAATCCAGGCTAGATAGTTCATCAGTGAATTCTATGAAACATTTAAGAAAGAAATAAAAACCACTCTTGGGGTGAATTTAATACAGTGGGAGTGTAGTCAGCTCCAAATACACATACCTTCAGGGATACACTGAAACACTGGCAGAAATAATTTTATCAAAACTCTGGAAAAAAAACAAAGGTTTGCAGCAACCAAGCAAATGCTGAATTAAAAAGGAGAAAAAGAAAAATGACAACATAAAGACAGCAGAAAAGCCTCTGGTATCTGTATTTTGCCTTTTCCCCACTATTTCCTCCCCAACTTGGCAGTAGTCTTGAAGACAGCAGCCCATTCCCAGTATGGGATCCTGGTCCCTGGTTCCAGAGAGAGCAAAAATCTTACTCACAAATTGTTGTGTTTGTTTTAATCTATCTGGGAGCTAGCTGAAGGACAAGCTCAAAGCATTCATCTATTTCACCTAGCTTAGGACCTATTCATCTATTTCACACCAAGTAGTGCTGGAAAAAATGTAAGGCCCACAGAGATTGGGTCAAAAGATTACGGGTAGACTACCTAAAGCCTTGGAGGAAAACCCAGGAAGAGAATTTCTTTAGGAAATAAAGCACTGAAAAGTGGTTGTGTGTACTGAGCAATTTAGAAAGCCAAGTATGTGCCCAGGACAAGATATAAGCTGAGAAAACACCCGAAAAGACCCTTAACTTTCATCACTGCCCAGTCTATAGAGTTAATGTGAGTCTGAATAAATGTGCAAAGGAGGGCCCCAGCATAGAGCCAACCTGCAAAGATTAGGAGTGGTATGTTTGTGTTTGTTTTGAGCCCCTGGCATTCAAGAAATCTGTGAAAACACTAGCTGAACACAAACTAAAGGAAGAGAGACTTCAGTGATTGCATACAAGGAATACAGTTTTTGCAAAAGTAATATGGAAAAGTAAGCAAAAAATGTACAACTGCTCAATTTAATAATCAAGAAAACTGCTGAATTCAACGATCAAGAACAGTAAACCCAGTAAACAAAAACAGTAAACAGTAAAAGGAAAAGAACATGATTTCCAGAGGTAACACGTTATAATATTCAATTATCTAGTTTTCAACAATGAAACAAGAACAAAAACAAACAACAATGAACATATGAACAAAATTATAGTATCAATAAATAAAAATTATAATAAAAGTCCTCAGCTCCTCAGCTGAAAGTACCGATAACTAAAATGAAAAATTCTTTTGATGAGTTTAACAGATCTGATCTACTAAGAAGAATGAATCAACAAATTTGAAGACAGAAGGATTTAAATTATCCAGTGTAAGAAACAGAAAGAAAAATGAAAAAAGAATCTAAGGGACCACCATCAAGTAGACTAACATGCATATTATGTGTGTCTCAAAACAAGAACAAGACAGGAACAGAAAGAATATTTATTGAAATAATGGCTGAAAAAAATCCAAAATGTGATGAAAGATATGAATTAACACATCCAAGATGCCCATGAATTCCAAGAAGGATAAACTCAAAGAGATTCACATTGAGATGTTACAGTCAAATTGCCAAAAGTCAAAGATAACATGATGAGAAAAAAGAAGCAACTCATCACATATAAAAGATCCCCAGTTAAGATTAATAGCTGATTTTTCAACAAAAGCCATGGAAGCCAGAAGACAGTGGATAACATAAAGTGCTGAAATAAAAACCAAATAACCTGTTTAATGAAGAATTCTTTATCTACCAAAACTTATCTTCAGAATGAAGAAGAAACCAGATTTAAAGAAATAAAAAGAGTTCATTACTAATAAACCTGTCATACAAGAAATGCTAAAAGGAATCATTTAGACTGAGATTAAAGAACAAAAGAAAGTAGTAATCTGAAGTCACAAGCAGAAATAAAAAGTACTTTGTGTAAAATCTGGTTTGGCCTCTTTTCCCCTTTTTATTCTGTGGCTAGTTCTATGTTCCTCTTACTCTACTTTTCCTCTGCCTTAACTGCACTATATGGAAGTTGTAATCATGGCAGATTAAGAAAGAACCCAGTAATAAGAACTAGAAGACCTATAACAAATCATTTTCAAGCTGTGAATGGGAAGCTAAATTACTTAATGTTTAGAAGCCTGTTTTTTAAAATATATGAAATGAATGTTTTGACTTTCAGAAGTTAAGAGCAGTTTTAAAAGTAGTGTTTGTTAAAGAGCAAACAAATTTTAAAAATTAACACTGGTTTTGTTCTTTAAAAATTGGCTACATTAAGTAGTTTTAGTATTTATGCTACATCAATAAAATGTAGATGACTATATTAACTGAAGGAACTCTAAGAGTAAGTTAAATTGCTGACATTTAATTCACACAGTGCTGTCCTGTTTCCCAGGGTTTTGAGTAGGCATACCTCCACAGCAAACTTTGGATGAAGATAAGTGAACAGTGGTAATAAGGATAATTATGGTCACACTAACAGCAGCAACAACTTATACATACACTGTATAAGTTTACCACATTATTCTATTAAGGTAGGTATGCTAGTATTCCCATTTTTAAAATAAGGAAAATGAAGCACAATGAAGTTAGATGCACATCTATAGCATCCAACAACCCAAAACAGTGAACCCTGGGGAAGGGGAAGAATGATTTCCAGAGGTGCCAAATGATAATAATTGAATATCCAATTTTCAACAACAAAAACAAGAACAAAAAGAATATAAATAAACAAGAAAGTATGACATTAAATGACTTGCCCAATATTACACAACTTATAAGCAGCAAAGCTGAATTTTAACTTAGGCAGTCTGAATCCAATATCTGTACTCTTCATCACCACACCATGTGGCTTCTACTTCCCTTATCTAATAACCAAAAGAGATTACATGGGACTGCTATTATTAGCCTGGGTGATCAGAATTTTGTATTGATTTATCGAGAACAACAAAGAAGGAAACAAATCATGGTGGAGGAGGTTAGCTCTCCCCACAAGGCAAAAGCCACAAGCAAATTTATCCTTCCTTTTGCCACTATTTGTTAAGCACTCACTGTGTTGTTTTAGGAGGAGACAGAAGAGAAGAGACTTGTGAGTCTTATCAGCTCCAGATAAGAACATTACTTGTTCCATGGTGCAGGGTCAGCAAATCACTCAATATTCTTCCAAATTGTCCTGTATTAATTTTCCTTAACCAGTTGTAGGAAGAAGGGTCCTGGTGGCTCTAACATGTTTTATGTATATTTATTCAACAAGTAATAATTTAGTACTAAACGCTATGCTAAGTACTACTGAAGGAAAGTAAATAAAATGTGATTCTGAATCCTTGAGGAACCTGGTGAAAATAAAAAATGTAGACAGAAATACTTTAAATCTATTTGGTACTTAACTGTGGGAGCCTAGTAGAAGCAGTGGTTAGCTCTGTTTAAAGACCAAAAATCTAGAACAGGCACTGATGACACAAAAATGGTAATTTTATGTGGTTCAACCTAAGAGATGACATTTGGGCTGTTTCTTGTTGGGTAAAGAAGAGTAAAAAAAAGATTATTAAAGGAAAGTGCATAAGAGACCATATTCCTTAACCTGCATGGAACATTGCATACTCCTCACACTTAACTTGATACAGATGCATCAGAAAATAAAAGAAAGCTCAAATACATGTGTCCTTTAATTTTCTTGGAATGAGGTCCTCTGTTGCCACCTCAAATAACAACTAGTGAAAAGTTTAAATGATCTTTTCTTGAATCCTTTAATAATAATTATTTTTCCAAAGTAAAGTATTATAAAAACGTAAAAATCTCAATCCCTAAACCACATAATGCATTGCACAGATAATAGTATAGCATAAGTTCTGATACATATCCAATTATACACATCTCAGAGTTCTTGGGTAAGCCAGAAGCCCACAAAACTGTAAAAGCTTCAAAACTGTAAAAGCTTCCAAAGCGTGGTTACTTAAGTTTTAACTCTGACTGGCATTTTCCTGGAATTATTCATGGGATGCAAAATCTGAACTTAGATTTCAACAGTGTTTATCTTTTAGTGGCTCTGATAAACAACTTACTTGGCAGATTTTGTTTAAAGCTCACAAAAGTTCTTTTATTTACCTAACTTCTCATTATGTGGCGGCTAAGCATTGAGCTAAACCTTGAAAGACCCATGCTGGAAAAAAAAATTGGGCAAAAAAACCCAAAACTCGTTTCCAATTAAATTGTGCATTTTCTGTCAACTTTGTTTAATCAATGAATTTTGGCTATTAAGAAAGATAAGAGTTTTCTACTTGATCAGAAGGATGAATCAATTTCACTGCCATACTCAAATTTCTGAATCCTAATAGCACAAAGCTCTACTATGCCCTTAGTGAAACTAACTGCATTAAATGAGAGAGCACATAAATGCACAGAAAACAAATCAACTGGGCTATCTGTGTGTTAAGCCACATTTCCTTCCTTACTTTCCAGCCTCCAAATTCCCATCCTCAAATCTCCAACCATAAACACTAGTATACTGGAATCTCTATAAAGACTTCTACTATTTTAATGCCAAAGACACTAATACTTTCCACTCCTTCAATGCAGCTAAAAGCATCATCTCATTTCCTCCCTGGTTATTAAAAAATTCAGCTTATTATGGAAAAGCCAAAGTAAAAAATGGGTATATGGTACAAATAGTGGTACAGCCAGGAATTTATGTCAAGTAACACAAAAACTTTCTCTAATTTATAGAAGGAAAGAGCCTTTCTTTCAAGAAGAGAGAAAATAGTCTGTGCAGCTAAAACTTTGTTTATAAAGCCAGGTGGTATACTGTATTTGGCACAAAAACCATAATGGATTGATACCTGTTCTAGTCTTAGAACTAGGTTTACCTTTAAATTTAAATCATCATATGTAAGAAAATGCAAGAAATCTCTTAAACTGAGAAAACTTTTGTTGTTGGTTGTTTTAAGGGTGGAGTAGGGAGAAGGTGAAGGGTTGACATAGGGAGAAATTTTTTAAAACAGAAAAATAAGGATTAATTTTATTAGGTTACCTTCTGTGGAACTGAATTCTTCAACTGAAGTACCTTTTGCTCCCACATTATCATCACTGTCACATTCTGTAAGACAGAATCAATAAATGCAAATGTATTTCTGAAAAAGTTATTGCACCATAAATTACATATTCTCAAACAATATCGTTTTCAATGATTTCTTTCATATCCAAGCTCACTAGTTACAGTTCATTAGTATTATATCATTTAGCCAGGGGTTTAATTTTTTTAATGCTTACCAAAGAGTATTAAAAATGGTGACAAAGTTTTTTTTTTTGTATTTTGAAAATCATCTGTATGGAGAAAACACCACAGTTTTAATTAACAGTGCTCTTGTGATATTAGCTAGATTATACTGTTATATTGTTTGCATGTATGAATATAAAAATTCCCATCACTATGTACAAGTATAATGAACCAATTTTAAAAATAGAAAAAAAGAACAAACAAAATTGCTCCTGCGTCAACAAATTCCTTACCCGGGGCAAATACTGACTATACTAACTTGTACTTATTTTGAAACATTTACAGTGAGTAAAGGTGGAAGATATAATGGAAGGGGATTTCTAGTGAATTTTTTAGAACTGCATGTTGTACTAATGAAATAGCTCACTGTAGTGCTTAAAGTTCTTGGCCAATATCCTGCCCAGCCTCTAAAGACAGAAATGTTGGTTTAATTATGAGAGTAACACTGCTAATCATTTTCCTTGACCTATGCTGGACATTTAATTAGTTTACTTTTAAAAGTATCAGAACTCCCAACAACCAAATAATTTTATCTTCTCACCAAAATATCAGGTTCCTTAATGTTATTTTTTTAAAAAATGTTTAATATCTTAATATTAATTCTGCAATGTTGTTAAGACTATGGCAGAACATCTCTCATTATCTTCACTCTTCATGGACATGGTAAGTATCACTAATTCACACTGGGTGGTTATTTCTACATCATGAAATCAAGTCTGTCAATGAAAGCTTTACCCATAGCAGTTAATACTGATAAAAAGCACTTGCATGGTCACATATAGGTTATTTAAACTCTCTGAACCTCTATTTCCTCATCTGTAAAATGGGGTAATGTAACATATCCTACCTCACAGAATGCAAAGAGGATTTAAAAACACATGGAAGAAGCTCTTAAAATGTGTTTAAAGTATACAACCAGAGATACGAAAAATTGTGATCTATAAGTGTAATATGAATTGTAATGCTTTCTGTTGTCATATATAACAATTTAAAATTAAAAATAAAAAAAGTGTTTAAATACCTTTAAATGTTTAAACAACTATAAAAGGAGCACGCATGTTGGCTGGCACATAATATGTCCTCAATAAAGTTTAGTTCATGTCTCTTTAAAACTGACTATTAAAATGTCAAGTTATATCCCCAACTCTGAAACATGAGACTTAAGTTAGAAGGAAGATGTACTTGTGAATAAAATGTAAAAGGTCTAAAGCAAAGTCTACCTGGCTCCTCTGATAAGGATTACCAGAAAGGATCCATTGTATTTGCTAAGTTTTAAGAAAGTGCAAATGACTGCAATAAAAAATAAAATTGAAAAAAATAAAAGAACTGATGAAGGATAAGGCCGCCAAAGGATCAATTAAGGACAGATCACTGGATATTTTTATATGTCTTTAAAAGGATTTATACTATTTATCACAGCTATAATCAAAATGTTGGTAACTGGAACACTGAAGAGCTTAGAGAAAAAATACAGCAAAACCCATGACACAACCAAACCTTGAACTTTCTCTAAAGGTTCACCTAATACTGATTTACTTGATGTAAGCAAGTCAGACGCCTAAAAAAAAAATACCATAGTAAAACTATCTACCTTTCCCTTCCCTATCAACAAAAAGTAATGCCTTAGGGTCAAATGACTAGAACTCAATATACAGAAAAGCTACTCCAAATATCTCTATTTTTACTAAGTATCTCCTGAAATTTTTTCAATTAACAGAAAAGAGGCAAAGACTAAACTCTCCAAGTATAAGATATCTCATGACCATTGATCCTCATGACACTATCCCACAGATTCTTTCTGATTACACAGGAATATCCAGTCTAACTTTCTGAAAACTCAGAATAAGAAACACAAACTTGTATCATTTCTTTATGCTCTAGTGAAAAATTTAAAAACATGTAAAATCACCAGACTGTCTGCGTAATAGTAAGTATGAGAGAACTTCTCACTGTTACATACAACATCAACTTCTCCCTGTATCCTGAAAGATGAGAGTTGTTTGTTGGTTAGTAAACAGGAATGCTGAGACCACAAATCCCCTGAAATTTTAAGTAATGTTGTATATACAGGCTGTTTATTGGGGAGTAAGAAAACTTTCATCTGATTCTCAAAAAGATATCAGTATCCCACCCCAAAACCACAAAGCCTTTAACAAACTGTCAAATCTGAAGACAAGAACACCAATGCTAAACTACATGCAAGGAGTTATTCTGGCATTCTTGTGGTGACCAAAACTATCTAAAGACCCAGTGAGAAAAACTAGTGTGAAGCCAGGCATGGGGAAATACACCAGTAGTCCCAGCTACCTGGATGGGTGAGGCCAAGAGAATCACTTGAGCCCCAGAGTTCAAGGTCAGCCTGAACATCATAGTGAGACACCACATCTCTAAATAAGTAAGTAAATAAATAAAATGATTAGTGGACACTGGAAGATTTTTAAAATACCAAAATATATATTAAATACCACTCCATTACAAACTATTATTCTACCATTCACAAAGCATTTACTAGGAAAAATGATGGAATAAAGAAAAACTTTGATATTGATTCAGATAACTAAACTTTGAATATACTGTTTTCATATAACTTTTTTTTTTTAATTTTAGAGTTTTGAAAGCATTATTCATTTGATCCTTAAATCTAGGTAAAGGTAAAATCTTCTGTTTTAAAGATACTACACTTCTTCAAGCACTTAATTATTTTCATTACTTTAAAAATGTAGTGGTTAAGGCTGGGGCTGAGGTGGGCTGTGGCCGTGGCTCAGTAATAGAATGCTCACCTGGCATGTGTGAGGTGGTTCGATCCTTGGCACCACATAAAAATAAAGGTATTATGTCCACCAACAACTAAAAATGCATACATAAAATGTAGTGGCGAGGAGTCTTATTTTCTTTTTATGATAGTACTAATACAAAGAGCTACCATTTGTTGAGCCCATAGAGTGCTTTATATGCTGTGCTAGACATTTTACATAGATCACTAATTCTTATAACCAGAAAGATACAAACAATGAGATTCTGAAAAAGTTAAGTATCTTGCCTGAAATCACACTGCTAGGAAGTAGCAAAGTTAGCACTCAAAACCCATGCCCTTCTTTATGTATTGCACGATGTCTGCATTTCACAAAAATTCAGAATAAAATATACATGTGTTTTCAAAAAGCAGTATATTCAAATAAGTACTACATATGAATGATAAAGAGTACATAGAGTGGGTTGGGATTATAGCTCAGTGGTAGAGTACTTGCCTAGCATGTATGAGGCACTGGGTTCGAGCCTCAGCACCACATAAAAATAAATTAAAAAAAAAAAAAAAAGGTATTGTGTCCATCTGTAACTAAAAAAATTAAAAAAAAAAAAAAGAGGGGCTGGGGTGGTGGCTCAGCAGTAGAGCGCTCGCCTCACACATGAGAGACCCTGGGTTCGTTCCTCAGCACCACAAAAAAATAAATAAATAAAGGTATTGTGTTCAACTACAACTAAAAAATAAATATTAAAAAAAGAGGGCTGGGGTTGTGGTTCAGTGGTAGAGCGCTCGCCTAGCACATGTGAGGCCCTGGGTTCGATTCTCAGCACCACATAAAAATAAATAAAGGTACTGTGCCCAACTACAATATATATATTAGAATACATTCAAAAGGGCTTAATGAGCATATTAATAAACCATATTTTACCTCCAACCCTAATGTATCCATGCAGGCCTTCTCATATACAGCTCTCATTCAAGTTAAACAGAAATAGAGGGAAATTCATAACAGGTTTTACATTATAAATTTAAAAAGAAATGTTCCCCAAAGAAGCAGCATAAGAGAAGGAAAAGGAAGTTGGCCTAGTGTGGAAAAGGTAAAAATTTAAGTATTTTACAGAATATTTATAAAGGTATTTTATAGAATATAGAATATTATGTTGTTGAGGATAAAGGAAAGGGTGATAAAAGAATGGAAGAAAATAATTTTTATAAAAAGGAAACCAATATATAAAGAGTGGAGGAGGGGCTGGGATTGTAGCTCAGTGGTAGAGTGCTTGCCTAACACATGTGAGGCATTGGGTTTGATTATCAGTATTACATATAAATAAATAAAATAAAGGTCCATCAACAACTAAAAAAAATTTTTTTTAAGTGGATTAAAATGAAAAATGCAGAACAGGAAGATAATATTCAGCACTAACATGTAACATAAACATGTAAGAGGTCATTTTCCTTTATAACCTTGCATCAGTACTTTGATAAAGAATATAGTTGTGCTAAGTAGATTACCAATTCTCAATTTTGCAAAAGTGTATTGATCCACTGTTATTAGTGAAAAGAGCTCAAGATTCTTCAGAATGGACTTTCAATTTAAAATATGGTTCCAAATATATTAAAAGAAAAAAAATAACTGAAAAGCAAGCAGAGTTGGAAAATTTAAAGGCATAAAACAAAATGCCAAAAAGTAGCCACTATTTGTTATTTAATCATTCATTAATATCTTCAAATTTCATTTATGAATTCAAACTATTAGGAGAAGTAAAAATTATTATTTTATTGTTTTCATTCTCCCATATTTATTTCAGAAATTATGAAAAATTGAATGTGGTCAGGTATAATGGTGCATGCCTTTAATCCCAGCCACTTGGGAGCCTGAGGCAGGAGGATGGCAAGTTGGAGACCAGATGGCCCAAATTAGCAAACCCAGTCTCAAAATTAACATTTTTAAAAAGACCCTGGGTTTGATTCCCAGTACTGGGGAGGTGTGTGTGGGGGGAACCAAATCTTCTGAATCCCTAAATGAGAAGTAAAACTAGCCATCATTAGCATTCCTTTCAATTTCATAATAATGAGTTATAGCAATAAGATAGGATGTACCAACAGGCATGGTAGCTATAATCCCAGTGACTCAGGAGGATGAGGCAGGAGGATTGCAAGTTGGAGACCCATCATAGTAATTTAAAGACCTTGTCTCAAAATAAAAAATAGAAAGGGACTGGGGGATACAGCTCAGTTGGTAGAATGCTTGCCTAGCATGCACAAGGCCCTGGGTTCAATCCCCAGCACCACAATAAATATATAGATATAACTGAAGCTAAATCTGAAATTTCAGAAACAAAGATCTGAATTCTGAAGTTTCTAAAATTATAATATTTCAACCTATAACTACATATTTTATATAGATGATTTTTTTAATATTTATTTTTTAGTTGTAGTTGGATACAATACCTTAATTTTATTTATTATGTGGTGCTGAGGATCGAATCCAGGGCCTCACATGTGCTAGACGAATGCTCTACCACTGAGCCACAACCCCAGCCCATGAGTATGGTTTTTTTATCTACTAGATTTTAAAAAAAGGCTATGGAAAATTACTGTGAATTATTGTCCTTCTAAAACACTAAAGAATTAAAGGGAAATAGGGAAAAGATAAATAAGATAGAAGTATGACAACATGAAGGTTTATAAACAGGCAAAAGTTCACTAGAGGACAGCAGTTTATTGGTTTCTCTCAGCAGTGAAGTCTCCTCCTCTTGGGTGGTTTGCACTGTGACTGCAGCTGCATACCTTTGGTGGTATCAGAAATGCTATTTAACAAGGCACACATCATATCTCCCTCTAAGTGGTGAGGGTTTAGTATATGAGCTGGCCTCTGAGTCTTCTTAAATTGATTCTCTAGCTCCAGAAAACCTTGATCTCCTGAGAGGATGGTGAAAGGAATTTGCTTGGGTAGTTGTTCATCTAGACGGCCAGCCTATGTTGGAACAAATGGCATAGGTTGTAAAAATCAATATGAGTTTCAAATCAAGTTACATCTACTTCACATATCTAAAAAAGCACATTAAGCTTATTTCCTAGCCTACGTCTTCATAAATGAAATATGAAAAAAAAAGAGCTAATGTTTACCATAAAGACATGTAAAAAGAATCAAATATAAGATGCCATCATTTATACGACCATGGTAAAAGAAAAGGCCAAAATGAAGTCCAACAGGAGGATCCACATAAAGCAGTAACACCAAAGGACTACACACTCAATGTAAGGGAAAATAAGAAATAAATCCATAATAGAGAAAGGGAAGCAAGGTAATTTGCATGATTCAATCTTGGCACTGGATAGAAGGAAAGGAAATCTCTTATGGTTTAATCTCTTGTGGTTTACCTTCACATTAATAAATCAACATCAATACATTCACATTATCAGTGTGACAAAGTTTCTAGTAGAGAATTTAATATACAATGGGCCCTAGGTCAGTGGTTTCTCTAGGTGACTGGCAGAGACAGATGTAAATGAAAATTCTATCTCAGTCAACAGTGACTGTGAACAGTGTCTCTGAATGTCAGAAATACAAATGTAAAGTAACTTAGCATAAATAAAGTACAGTATCATCTCAATCACTCATTCCATAAATAATGAAGGTAGATCTACTATGTATAGTTGAGGGTCTGCTGGGAATTGGGGGATATAGCAATAAACAACATGCCACAGGCCTCTACTCTCACAGTAGTCAAAAGTAGAACCTGACATAGGTTTCATTCAAAAATATAGTACTGAAGAATGATCTATACTGACATTACATACAGTTCAAATGGGAAAAAAATTCAAGTGGATCCTGGATTCACATTACATTTTGAATTAAACAATGACTCACATGCATACATATGGCAAAATCAGCAGCATCTTTTCTTTTACTACAGCGAGGATGAAGGAAGAAGCATCCAATTCTGTTCAAGTAATTATAGACCTTACAATTGAGTGGAGGCTTCCAGTTCGTGTTTCCTCCTAATAATTTTAGAAAAGGTAAAATGACAGTCAAACAGGAGGAAAAGACTAAAAACTGTATCAAGGGAAACACTAAACTTTTTTTTTTTTTTTCTAGAGAGAAAGTACTAGATAGAATGTGAGGAATGCAGGTCTTGTATAGGCATCACCATCTTGTTACTTTAAAATCTTGGAAATGTAGGCCAAATTCCCTGATCTGCCTACTCGTGTGAAAATTCACAGGGATGTTAAATAAAATCTAAAGTAATATGTGTGAAAAATCTTTGAAGGCATTATTCTACATGAATGCAAATTAATGTTTTTTACAAACATGACACAAATGGGCAGTGGACAGAAATGATGAGCAATCAGGAAAGCTAGACCTAATAAAACTTTATACTGGCTAATTTATATAGGGCAGTATATTTCTATCTTTAATCCCAATCATCCTCTTTATAAGCCATTTCCTCTCAAATATAAGCTATATTAGATACTCACTATACTAAAAGCTATGCAAACCCAAAATCATCTCCCTCAGGTCTGGTCCGTGGTTTGGTTTATAAAGAGATTTAGATGAAGGTACATACTTAAGAAAGGAAGGATGAACTGAAGAGGCAGTTGTGGCATGTTGGAAATAACACTAGTTCTATAGGTAAGAGACGGAAGCTCAAAAGCTTACTGCTTTTTATTAGTTATCACTTTAAAAAAATAATAAACTTCTCAGTCTGTTTCCTTGTATTTTAAAAAAATAATAATAATCAGTATCCGTGTTTGTATCAAGCAGTAGAGTCTGGCACATTATAGGTGGTGAATAAAATCTTTTTTACTCTGTATCAAAAGATGTATATTGCCAGACACAGTGGCACACGCCTGTAATCACAGCAACTTAGGAGGCTAAGGCAGAATGAGTGCAAATTCAAAGCCAGCCTCAGCAACTTAGCAAGGCTCTAAGAAACTCAGTGAGATCCTGTCTTTAAATAAAATACAAAATAAGGGGCTGGAGTTGTGGCTCAGCGGTAGAGCACTCGCCTCTCACGCGTGAGACCCTGGGTTCAATCCTCAGCACCACATAAAAATAAACAAAACTAAAGATACTGTGCCCATGTAGAACTAAAAAAAAATTAAAATAAATAAATAAATAAAATACAAAATAAGGCTGGAGATGTGGCTCAGTGGTCAAGTGCCCCTCAGTATAATCCCTAGTAGCCGCTGCTCCCGCCCCCAAAAAAAGATTTATAAACTTTGGGTCACCAAAAAGAGCTAATGTTTACCATAAAGACATGTAAAAAGAAAAATATTCTAGGAAAGTTAACTATAATGCAAAGTAACACTATTCAAATTATGTTATGTTCAGGAAGGTTCTATGGAATTTCTTAATCATTATGGAGAGAGGTTATCTCACATGTTTTCCTTATTGATCATACCTTGAAAGCCCCAAATAAATGTTCCTTGGTTAAGATGCCCTGGTAGATGACCAAAAAAGTTTGACCAATTATCAAAATCTACAAAGACTATATGAGTCATGGTTCGCAGGTAATCCAAATCTGGAAGCTCAACTTCTTCCTCTGAGGATACAGAAACATTAACATGAATTTAGTAAGAATCTGCTATAAACATTCTAGTTTCTCAGTCTAAAAGATATTACAGGCCTAACAGGCAAAATAATTAATTTTATAAATTAATTCATCTATCTAAAACTTTTAAGGTAATTCAAATTTATACATGGTATTGGTTTATGCTTAAAATACTTGATTATGTATTTTATAAATATCTTTCTTTGATTTAAAAAAATAATAAGTCATTTTATTATTATTTATTATTATTTAAGTCATTCATAAAAGAAAGTTGTAAACAAATCAATGTACTAGAAAATCAAGTGTCAACAGTATATAACCAAGAACTTACAATTCACACCATCCACCAAAATAAAATTTCAAGGTGACTGGCAAGAATGTCCTTGCCACTAGAATTTGCTTTTTTTCCTAATTTAGACTGATTTATTAGGAGCCCCCTGGCTCTAAGATTAAATCCCCTAAAAAGCCAAGCATGGTGCCACATGTTTGTAATCCCAGTGACTTGGGAGGTTGAGGCAGGAGGATTTCAAGTTCTAACCAGCCTCAGCAACTTAGTGAGAACCTGTTTTAAAATAAAAAATAAAAAGGGCTGGGGATATAGCTCAGTGCTAAGGAACCCCTAGGTTCAAAAGAAAGAAGAGGAAAGGAAAGAACAGAAAATTCCCTGGAGAGCAGAAATAAGATAACCTACAACCCAATTGCCATAAAGCAGTGGTAGAAACAGGTGGTAATTGCCCATTAATACCTTTAATCATAGATATATCTTTCTTGGTTCTCTCAAATTCTTTCATCTCCTTCCATTCTCCCTCATTCTCTCTCTCTCTCCTTTCCCTTATTTCATACTCTTTTACCTTGACAAGAACTTCCTGTTTCCAGTATTAGTAATGCAGACTTTAAAATATTAAATTATCTTAAAAATGAAGTTTTTACTCTGCCTAATAGAGTTTTCTTTAAATATACTACTACCATCCCCTTCCATTTCCAAGCCACTTTATATCTTCAAGTTCTTAATAATTCTATATTTATATATTAGTCATCTTTTATCAAAGATAGATTAATGCAAAATTACTGAGAAAAGCAAAAGCCAAACATAAAAACATAAAATGGTGTGACCATTATTTTCACTATCTAGAGTAGTAGAGTTGACTATGCTGGACACGATTTAACTCTTTCTTACTGAAAACGTGCCATGATAAAAAAAGGTAATGTTGATTTTATGTGTGCAAACCTATAAAAATTCAGTGGTTCATAGCTGGGTGTGGTGGTGCACACCTGTAGTCCCAGCTACTCAGGAGGCTAAGGTAGAAGGATCACTTGAGCCCACAAGTTTGATCAGCCTGAGCAAAACAGACTGTTTCTAAAAATAAACAATAATGCAATGGTTCACAAAAACATTTTATAAGCCAAAATTTTCACATGTTCTCATCGTCTCCACTATCCATTATGTAAATCACCATGAACTAATATTTGTTTAAAAGGCTACGGACTTAAAATTACACTCTAAAACAACAGGTGCTTAAACTTCTAAACAAAATCAAATCACTATACTACTTACTGAATCCTATAATATGAAAGAAATAAAGTTCAGAATATGTATAAACAAGGGGATTCATATCTCAATTTATCTCTAGTTTCTACCACTTTTAATTCTACTTCTAATTGCTATTTTAGCTGTATGTTAAAGCTTTGCTTTCAAATAAATTGCAACAAAAATATATAAATGCTGAAATTGCCTTTAAGATTTCTCATACTTAAACAAAAGGCCAGACAATAAAAATAATTTAATCTATTTTATTTTTTAATGAATCTAAATAAATGGTACTGAAAAATCTAAATGATAGTAAGATTCAGAATTTCAAGTCTTTCAGAAAATCTATCAACTTCCTTTTTCTGAAAATCCCATGCCTTTTGTAAAAGAAACGAGATCTAAAATATGTATTATTTAAAGCCAACACTCTCCCCCCTCTTAAGTTTAGAAAGTGGATGAAGAGAGTAGTAGGAATACAAATCCCCAAAAAGAATATGCTGCAGTAATTAAGTGAATGATGTATCATCCTGTTTCTTACTTCAAAACTGAATCTTTAACTTTCACAAAAATGGTGGATGCACTGCATACAAGTTTTTATATTACTATGTGAAATGTGCAGAATTGTAAAGCCATACCTATATTCTGCCAGCTTAGGTCATTTTCAGCTCCTTTCTCGATGTCTGAGTTTTTTGGACAACTCACTGCCTGTTTTGGTTTTTTCTCTGTACGTGGGGCACTGGCAGTAAACTTGTATGTGCTCCCTTTTTCAGATCCAAAATGAGCCACGCTGGGTTTCTGTAAGAAGCCATGTTTTCTATGGAAGTGCTGCTGAGCACTCTCAGGATTATGAAATGCTTTGGTACAAATGCCACATTTGATTACATACTGCTGCTCCTCTTTATCCCTCTTTTCTTCTCCATGTACTTGAAGGATATGAGAGTTAATGCTGGCTAAATTCTGTGCTGTTGCTGAACACAAATTGCAGCGAAACCATAGTTTACCTTTATCTAGCAGGATTTGAAGACATCTACCATAATCTTCCTTTCTGTTGACTTTACAGATGTAACTCTCACGGCAACCACAGGTTAACAGGATACCGGTCTCTATAACTGGAAAATCTTCCTCAGTTTTAATTGAAGTTTCAGTTTTTTCTGACACAAACACATAATCTGTGCTGTGGTGCTCCTTATAATGACTCAGAAATGCTTCTTCCACATTAAAGATAAGATCACAGAGTCCACAGAAGTATTTAATCTTTATTTCATTGTTATGTTCATCTTGGCAATGCCGGTATAAGGTTTCTATCTTATGAAAAGTCTTTTTGCAATGGGCACAGCTGTATCTATGAAATTGGTGACTTGCCAAAGACAAGCAGTGTTTTTTCACACATTCTTGGGAATCAAACATATCTTCACAAATTTGGCATTGCCATTTGCCTCTTGGAGGGCTATTTGCTGGGATATGATCAACAGTAATAGCTAAAGGAGGTTTGTTAGCAGCCAAATTACTCACCATAGAGGATGATGGCAAAGTTTCATCTTGTATCTCATCCATCTCATAAAAATATCTGTGCCCATTATGATATTCAGTCACATGTGCCATGATAGTATCTTTCTTCATTAACTCCTTTTTGCATGTCCGACACCAAAAAAAAAAGTTATTTAAATGTGCCCCTCCATGAATACGACTCATGTGTAAACGGATGACCCCTGAATCTTCGCACACCTTTCCACAGACCACACACTTGTAACACATTGTGTTTGCTGAAAAAACATGCTTTTCTACTGCATCTTCACTTGGGAATCGCTGATTGCATTCACAAAACCAGGTTTTAATTACTGACCTTTCTTTCTGGACACAAACCACACCTTCATGCCTTTTATCTTCTAAATTCATCTTCTTTTTTGGAATCATGCTGCAATCCTGTGAGCTAGATTCTTTAATAGACATAGTTCTTTTAAGTGATGAAAGCTGTGGTTGATCTAATAAATTCAAGTCAGAAGGAGGTCTGTTCCCTTCACTACTGTGGCAATATAGTAAGACTGATTCTTGGACTGAGTTAGCGACTCGGATTTTGTGTCCTGAATTCTGCTTGTGAATTAGGGTGCTGGTTTCATCCATAAAGACCTGGTTGCAATTTGGACAATAGCCTCTTAATATGAATTTTTCTGCAACCTGAGTAATGCTTTTCTCAGCTATAGCTACAGGTCCAGCACTACGACAACGAACCCTAAATTGGATTAAAACGAAACAAAACATTCCTTTGTAAGAATTTTCCAAATATACCATTTTTGCTTTTTATGACAGGTATTTTTAAATAACTAACATATAAATACTGATACATATTTTTCAATAAGGATACAGGAAATTTAATGATACTGTATCATCTCAAAGTACCTAAGTATTATCTATTTCTAACCCATACACAAAAAGTTAAAACTAGAATCAGAAGATTAAAAAATATCCAAGTAAACACAAGAAAATTAAAGTCGGAATCAAATGCACTGATACATGACCTTATCACCTTTATCAGACAAACAAATTGACTCTCCAAGCAATTAAAACTATTTGGAGGAATACTAACATAAGACCGTAGATAACCTTGTATTTACCTGATTTTACATCAGGAATATGCTTGCCTAAAGAGCAAAATTCAATAATAAATATGCACAACCATTATTAGTTTGAGAACACTATATCACATCAAAAAGAAATTCCACACACTGTATCTATCCTTTTCACCCTAATGCTTCCCAACCCCAAAACAATCACTGAGCCCTGTGCAACTACTTTCCGTTTCTGTGAATTTCCCCATTCTGGAATGTTATATGAATGAAATTATATAGTAAATGGACTCTTCTGACTGGCTTATATCATTTAGCATGTTTTCAAGGTTCCTTGGGTTGTAGCATGCACAGTATTTCATTCCTTTTAAAAGTCAAATGATACTCCATTGTATGGATATGCCTCATTTTCTTTGTCAGTTGAAAAAATCATGAATAATGCAGCTTCAAACAAACATAAATTATTTGCATGGACCTATGTTTTCATTTTTTTTTTGGCTGTATCTCTAGAAGTGGAAATTGCCAACTCATACAATAACTATTTTTAATTATTTAAGAAAAAATAAAATATTTTTAACTGAATGCAAAAGAAATCATAATTTATCAAAATCTATAGAATGCAGGTAACACAGTGCTTAGAGGGAAATCTATACCTTTAAATGTTAATATTTTTTTAAAAAGCCGGTGTGGTGGCATATGCCTATAATCCCAGCAGCTCTGGAGGCTGAGGCAGGAGAATCGCGAATTCAAAGCCAGGTTCACAAAACCCAAGGTGCTAAGCAACTCAGTGAGAACATGCCTCTAAATAAAATACAAAATAGGGCTGGGGATATGGCTCAGTGTCCCTAAGTTCAATCCCCAGTACAACCCCAAAATAAAATAGAATATATTCTTGAAGCAAGAACAGGCAAACACAAATTATACTCAATGAGGTTAAGAGAGTGTGTTCTTCAAAAGATATAATTAATAATATGAATATACAAATAATAGACTGGGAAAATATATTCAAGAATATTTGAGGGCCGGGGTTGTAGCTCAGTGGTAGAGTGCTTGCCTTGCATCTGTGAGGAACTGAGTTCAATCCTCAGCACCACATAAAGATAAATAAATTAAAAAAAATACGTCAATCTACAACTAAAAAAATATTTGTATTGTCTTTATGTATATATAACAAAATACTTGAAGCTGAGTACCTTATTACAAAGGGATTTACTTAACCCACAGTTTTGGAAGCAGAGAAGTTCAAGATCTCTGCATCTAGCAAAGGCAGGAACATCTATCTGTGAGAGAGGACAGCAGGTGCATGTAGAAGAGGCCTTGCTTTACAACAACCCACTCTCAGGATGACTTATCCAGTCCCATGAGACCTTACCTTCTCCATGAAACAGGCATCAATCTCCTCTCAGGGCGGTGCACTCATAACCTACTTACTTCTTAAAGGTTCTACTACTTCTCAATACCATTAATGGGGACCAAGCTTCCAGCACATGAACCTTTGTGGTACCAACCATTTCCAAACCATGACACATATAATTCTAGAAAGTCCCATAATCTAAATAGAAATTTGACAAAAGTTTGTATATATGAAGAACCCCAGCTCACTACTAAAAGATCAAACAATCCTATTTTTAAAATAGGCACAATCCTTCAACAGACTTTTCATAAGCAATTAGTGCTCAACATCTTTCATCAAAAAAAAAAAACCAAAACAAAACAAAACTTGATAATTAAAATCACAATGAAACATAAGAATAGGTAAAAAGGAAATGTTGGCAAGCACGAAATTAGAACTTTCATACCTTGCTCGTATAAATGTAAAGTGGTACAACTACTTTGGGAAAATATTTAATCATTTCTTATAAAGTTAAATATATATCTACTTTTTACTCAGCAATTCCACTCTTACATGTTTACCTAAGAGAAATGAAAATATATATCTACAAAAAGACTTGTGTAAAATATTCCTAGCAGTTTTTTCATAATAGCTATAAACTGCAAAAAGAAACCCTACATGTCCATCAACATGAGAACTGATAAACAAATTACAAGCTAATAGTTCTAAGTTGTGTATGTGTTCTGTGAATGGGAGGTGACAGGGTTAAAATAGTGCCTGGGCTTTAAGTTAACTGGAAAATATCATACACATGTGAAGGATTAAGTCTCAGTGATAGGCTAAATTTATTAAGTAATGAAGGAAGAGGATTCCAATATGCTTTTGCTTTGTCTTTACAATGTAATTTTTTTAAGTTATACATGAAAGTAGGGAGAATAGTATAAAGACCACCACTGTAACTTTTACAACCTGCTTTTAGTAGTTATCATAATAACAGTCATGTTTGATTTATATTCCTAACCTCCACAAGTTAATTATTTTGAAGTAAATCCTAGATATCATTCCATTTCATCTGTTAAGTACTTCAGTTGTACTATAAATAAAAGGGGCTTTTTTTTTTTTAAACCGGGGATTGAATTCGGGGCCACTCAAACACTGAGCCACATCCCCAGACCAATTTTGTATTTTATTAAAGATAGGATTCTCAATGAGTTGCTTGGTGCCTTGATTTTGCTGAGGCTGTCTTTGAACTCGCGATCCTCCTGCCTCAGCCTCCCAAGCCGTGGGATTATAGGCATATGCCACCGAGCCTGGCTGAAAAGGGCTTTAAAAAAAATGTGATACTATAAGACACCTTAAAAAATTAGTGGTTTTGGGCCAGGGCTGTAGCTCAGTGGTAGAGCACTTGCCTTGAACATGTAGGGCCCTGGGTTCAATCCTTAGCACCACACAAAAGTAAACAAAGATATTCTATCCATCTATAACTAAAATAATATTTTTTTAAAAAATAAGTGGTTTTGTTTGTTTTGGCAGTACTGGAGATTGAACCTAGAGTGCTTTATCACCAAGCTACACCTTTCTCTCACTATGCTAAATTTGGTTAATTTCCAAGAAAATGTATATTCTTATTTGAAAAGTAGAAAAACATGAATAGGAAAGTATTTCTCGAATCCTCCCACTGCTGAACAGCTCATAAGGATATCCTAACAGCTTAAGACTAGAACTGTACCAACCTGAAATGGGCAGTGAGCTCCATATGAGAACGCAGTGTCTGGTGGCAAGCCACACATTTTACTTGAAATGGAACATCTTTGCACAGAGAGATCAAAAGTTTCTTTGCATAAGATGGAAATGACACTGGATGTGCTATTCCCTTGTCAGCTGAAAGACAAAATAAATGATAACTTGCAAAGTCATTTGAATATACAATGACCCAATCTTTCTCCCCTTTCCCTTTCTCAACATCAGTTGAATTAAGTAAAACAATGTAGATGAAATTATAAGGGAAGTCACTTTCTAGCCTTAAATACAAGAGATACCCTATACTCAAATTAGAAATTGAGCATAAAATGTAGAGAAATACCCAGTTTCCAAGATATCATGAATATAACATATATACTGAATAAATGTTTTCTTTCCAAGTTTTCTTCACTCTTCAAAGTAGTCCTCCTCAAAGCAATCCTTACTCAAATAAATATTGAGAATCTTTATTAAAAATAAGAATTCAAATGAAAATCTTTCACTTTCATAGATTTTAAAACTAATAGGAAAATAAGCAACATAAAGAATGGTATAAGAAGCCGAGTGCGGTGTTGCTTGGGAGGCTGAGGCAGGAGGATCGTGAGTTCAGAGACAGCCTCAGCAAAGGTGAGGTGCTAAGCAACTCATTGAGACCCTCTCTCTAAATAAAATAGGACTGGGGATGTGGCTCATTGGCTGACTGCCCCCCTAGGTTCGATCCCTGGTACTCCTCCTCACCCCCCCCAAAAAAGAAAAAAAGAATGGTAAAGAAGTATGATAAATTAGTTATGTAACATTAATGTGGTTTAATAATTTGCAGCAGAAGATATTAACATACCGCCCAGTTTAAAGCTTTGATGGAAATGATTCTTAAAGCTTTGGTGGAAATGGTTCTTTCCAGACATATGCTTTAGACAGTCATCCTTATTGCTAAAAAGAAGAAAGCAACTTGGACATGCAAAACACTGAATAACCTGAGGAAGAAGGTTGTTGCTATGTCCATCATCTTCAGCTTCCTAAAATATAAGGCAAAGTTGTATTACAGACAACTAAAATCAATACTCAATTTTAAAAAAATTAACTTTCAAGTTTTCCTACTTATCTGGAAAATTCTGTATTAATTTTTACTATGAAAACTTTTCTTCCCTGGGGCTGGGGCTCAGCAGTAGAGTGTTCACCTACCACATGTGAGGCCCTGGGTTTGATCCTCAGTACCACATATAAATAAATAAACAAACAAACAAATAAATAAAGGTATTGTGTCCAACTACAACTAAAAAATAAATATTTTTTTTAAATTTTTTCTTCCTTAAGTGTGAATTACAGAACTTTTATCACAAAGTAACATGTGAAATTTAAATTTTTCTTCAAGAACAAATTATAGCCATCTTTCTGTGATAAAAAGCACATTTTTCATTTCTTACATACAATTCATATGTAATATATTAATACAGAAATGTAATCACAGAACATGCACTCTTTCTCATGGTTTGCTTTGTTTATTCTCCTGCAATATAACTGATATTTACAAATAAATTCTTTCATAAACTTTTCTATGTAATCATTTAAAAAGACATATAGAAAAAAACTTACAAGCAGGAAAGGCATTGTTTTATCAGATATTGTCATCTTATAGACTTCTGCCTACTAGTTTTCTCATTCCATAACAAATAATGGAATTCCTATGGTATAGGTGTAAATCAGACCTCTTACTGGTTGTAAAGTATGATTCAACCACTCATTTCTAGGTTTTTTTTGGTTTGGGATTTCTTTTCCCATATAAACAATGCTATTACAAACGTCCTTAAATATATATGTACCCTTACTTATAGTTACTTTTTTTTTTTTTCATTATTGTGTCAGTACGGGAAAAAAGGATATATTTATTTGAATAAAAAGATACTATTGGGCTGAACATGGTTGACACATGCCTGGAATCCCAGCACCTCAGAAGGCTGAGGAAGGAGGATCACAAGTTGGAGGCCAACCTCAGCAACTTAGAGAAGCCCTATGCAATTTAGCAAAACCCTACCTCAATTTAAAAAAAAAAAAGGGGGGGGGGGTTGAGGAGGAAGCTCATGGTAAAGTCTCCCTGGGTTCAACCCCTGGCACAAAAAAAAAAAAAGAAACTAAAGATAATATAGGATTGCTTTTCAAAAAGGCTTAACCAATTAATATACACTTAGTACTGAATGAGCCTGTCAGAAACAGATTATGTATCTTTTTCATTTTTGCTAGTCTACCAGGTATAATACTCAATGTTATTTTAATTTGCATTTCCTGTCTATAATTGAGCTTGAGCCTTAATTTACACATTTGCTGGGTATGTAGATATGTTTTTTGTTTGTTTGGTTTTTTTGGTACCAGGGACTAAATCCTGGGGCACTCAACCACTGAGCGAGACAGGGTCTAAGTTGCTTAGGGCCTCACTAAGTTGCTGAGGCTGGCTTTGAACTTTCCATCTTCTTGCTTTAGCCTCAGAGCCATGGGAATTACAGGTGTGTGCCACCATACCTAGCTTGTGTGTGTGTTCTGTAAAATTCTTGGTTTGTATTCTTTAACCTTATTTTTTAATTGTTTTGTTTTCAACCCTTCTGAAATAATTTATATTAGTCCTTTGTTACTAGAATCAACTCTTCTATGTCATCTTCCATTCTGCAATTATTTCCCCAAACATTTATCCACTAATTTTGTTTATGGTCACTCTCAAAATTCTGACATAATCAAAGAGGTACACCTCTTCTAGCATCTGCGTTTCCAAACTTGGTTCAAGTCTCCTCTATCTTAAAACTGGAAACTGTAAAAGAAAAGTGTACATTTATAAGTGTGTGGGAGCTTATTAGAAGTATAATTTAACTTCTTATTAAGTCTTTAGAATAATAGCCCTAAAAATTATATTATGCTGCCTTCTTCTTTTTATAATTTTTTTCAGTTGTAAATGGACACAATACCTTATTTTATTTTTATCCATCTATCTATCTATTTATTTATTTATTAATTTATTTGGTTCTGAGATCAAACCCAGTGTCTCACTCATGCTACGCAAGCACTCTACCACTGAGCCATAACCCCAGACCTACTGTGCCTTCTGTATTTACTAATCATTAAGTATGCAACAGTTTACAGGATGCTTAACGGATGCAGCAAGATAACAGATTACATTTATATTGAGTACTTTTCAAGCCTCACACAAGGATTCTGAACATATTTATACATTTAATTCTTATCAAAACCTCATGAGGTACCATTTTAATTGTTTACAATTACCAATATTAACCACCGCACAAATTGTACCCATAGAAGAGACAAACCTATCATTCAAACCTGGTTTTGTATCCTTCGTTATAAATTCTATGCCCTTTTCACCATTCCCTACAACACCTGCTCCTGTTTTAATTTCATGAAGTTGAGTCCCATGCAAAAGAAGAAACACCCAGAAGGACATTCTGAAGCTAGAAGATTCTAAATGACATGAACAACAAAGCCATTTACTAACCATCAATTTAATAAGTTTAAGGCTACTTGAAGAGCCTTAAACAAAGTAAATAAATCAATTTTACTTCAATTGAAAGTTATAAATAGATTTTGGAGCAGGGTACTAAGGATTGAACTCAGGGGGCACTCAACCACTGAGCCACATCCCCCGCCCTATTTTGTATTTTATTTAGAAACAGGGAAACAGCTGTTGCTGAGGCTGGCTCTGAACCCGCAATCCTCCTGTCTCAGCCTCCAGAGCCACTGGGATTACAGGTGTGCACCAAAGAGAATTATAAATAGATTTAAAAAAAAAAAAAAGTTTAAATGATTTGCTCAAAAGAACCAAAATGTGAATATACATAAAATTTTGTTGGAGGGCTCAGTGGTAGAGTGCTTGCCCAGCGTACCTGCGAGGCCCTCGGTTGGATCTTCAGCACCACATAAAAATAAACAAATAAAATAAAGGCATTCTGTCCATTTACAACTACAAATAAATAAATAAATTTTGTCAGAACATACCTATTATAAAAGTATGGCATATCTGCAAATATCTCCTACAAATTGTTAACATGCAGTCATTCTGAATCAGAATCTACATGTTAAATATTTTCTAAGTTATTCATATGCACATTAAAGTTTAAGAAGATTGGCCATGAGGGAAGAAATTGGAAATGAAAGAAAAGGAGAGACAGGCAAGGAAAATAACACTAATTGCAAATAACTCCTTCATTGAGGGATGCCATCTTTACAAAAATATAACTCATAGGTATAAAAAACAATGTGGCTTATACAATCTTCCATCACCTTTTCTGGTTGGTGGGAAAGGCAATTACAACCAAATACATACTAGTGTAAAGGTTTAGAGTCCAAGTTTGATTAGAGTCCTCATGACTGATATACCTAGGAATATGCAATAAGGAGTATTAATTAAAGTCTATAAGTCAGGCCCAAAGTTCCTTACACACTATTATATCTTCTCTTAACCTTGTATGTTTAAGTATAATAACACCATTTTAGAGATAAAGAAACTAAATTCAAGAAGCATTTAATAACTTAAGAACATTTAGCTTATAAAAGTGACAGTGCAGTACCCACTTCATGAGCACATATACTATAATTGGAACAATACTAAGAAGATTAACATGGCCTCTGCACAAGGATGATATGTAAATTTGTGAAGTGTTCCATGTTGTGGCCCTATTCTATGAGGTGGTAGGAACTTACAGAGACACTACAAGTAAACAAGGTAGAGACTCTGGGGCTGAACTAAACTCAGCCAAAAGACAGCATGCGGCAGTCTGGCTGGGCACAATTCAGGAGCCACTTGTCAAAAGAAAGGAACTTTATTTTTAGAACCACACACACCACACCACACCACACAGCTCCTCAGGAAAAACCTTCAGAGCCCAACTGCCACCACGGGCTTCCCACAAGCCTCTCCACCTCCCCCACTCCTCCTGCTCTTGAGGCCCATTGGCTGGGTCGCGTGGGCGGAGCCAAAAAAGTCCCCCAATGAGCAGCTCCGTGGTCTGAAAGGGCAGGGAAACAGCCCAATGAACATCACCGCAGAGGAGCCAATCAGTTGGCAGCTAGAAGTTGCTGGGGCCGCTGTGAGCCAATCATCAGCTGGCAGCTGGAAGTTTGCTGGCAGGTGGAAGTTTGCTGGCAGCTGGAAGTTTGCTGGGGCCCCTTCGGCTGTGGCTCTCAACAACAGCACACCTTGTTCTACATACAAATTACATGAAAGGAGCATGAAAACAAGGAGGAGTACTACTCTCATTTCTGAAAAAGCAAACTTCAAACCAAAATTAATCAGAAGAGACAAAGAAGGTTATTTCATACTGGTAAAGGAAACAATCCCAAAAGAAGAAATAATAATAATAAATATTTATACCCCAAATGTGGGTGCTACTAGTTACATAAAAGAGACACAAATCAAATTTAATCTCAGGAAACACCCTAGTACAATAATACTAGATTTCAACACATCTGTCTCAATAGATGGGTCATATAGATATAAACTCAGGACTCTTTGGACCTGAAAAATATTATAAATCAAATGAACGTTAATAGACATTTACAAAACACTTTATCCAACAAAGCTGAATTCATTCTCTTATCAGTAGCTCAAGGAGCCTTCTCCAAAAGAGACTATATTTTAGGCCACAAAGTAACTCTTAACAAATATAAAAAAAAAAACTGGTATAATTCTTTGCATCTTATCAGATCATAATGGATATAATTCTTTGCATCTTATCTAGGAATTAAACTAGAAACTATGCATCTAATAGAAGAAGACATGGGGCCAACACTTCAGCATACAGAAATCAACACAACAAAATCCACATAAATAGTCATCTCAACAGATACACAGAAGGCCATCAATAAAATTCAGCACCCATTCATGATAAAAACACTGAAGAGACTAGAGACAGAAGGAACCTACCTCAACCTCATAAAGGCTATACATAAAAATACCAAAGCCAATCGCATAGTAAATGGGGAAAAAACTGAAGGCATTTTCTTTAAAATCTGGGAC